CACAGATGCATGCTTTAAAAAACGAGATTAAAAAAAAAAAACGGGATAAAACCAGGTTACTTCAGATGACAGGTGCTAGTTCCATATTTAACCCAGATTTACAAAGGCTTACATCTTTTTTGTTTGTATTTTTTTCTCAATCAAAGGCTACTTAATACACACAGCATTTGTAGGAAAATAACAACAAAAGCCTCCACAGAGCAATTCATTTGCTGTCTATAACCATTAACAAAATATTGGGGAACTTTTCTTTTCCAACTATGGGCAGTACACCTCGTTCATCATGGAGATATCATTTCTTTACTCAGAGTTGAGAGAGCTCTCATATTTTGAATCATTCTTAGGGCTGCCCTGTTTGTGATGGTTCTGTCTAACCTTGCATCCCCTAACTCTATCAGAATGGGCTATAAGCTTTCTCTATAAAACTCACATATGAGAAAGGGTTGAAAGTTGGCTCATATAAATGACAAATATAACAAAATTAATAAAACATTAGAACCACAGTTAAGATGAGAAAAGCAGTAAGGGAAGAGAGAGTTGAGTGAACTTGGCAGAAAGCTTTTGCTTGCCAACGTGATGATGAAATTCTACTATGTTACATCACATTTCACATTCACTATCAGGAGTTTCGAAACATACATGCTTTTCTCAGTGTTGAAGTCTGAGACAGAATTTCTTTGATATATTTCTCAGATAAACCAAACCACAGGGACTCAGGATGGTTGGTCTGAGGAGATGCATTTGCCAGTTATCTTCTTACATTTTTAGATGTGAATGCTGAACATACATAAGTCAGGATGGCATGGAGGCTTCATTATAGTCCCTGGTCTACTACACATGTTACTGCATTGTTCTCAATGATAATTCCAAAAAGATCTAATCCAAATGTTTAATCGGGAGAACTTTAAGGAAAAACTCAGAGAATCCCTGTCCTTGACCTTTCGCAGGAAGGAAAGTCTGATAAAAAAAAAATAGAAAAGAAGTAACTACATAGCTGCGACAAATTTGCATAATCCCAAATGGCAGCCTGGGGGAGTTGAATTATGGCGATGGTGTGAAAAACTGTGTTTCGAGGCGACGGGCAAACTAAGGGCAGTAAAATATTCCTGGCTCAAGAATGATGTACCACTCTGTGTAAAGAACCCAGGGTAGATTAGAACAAAAGGGAAAACTTGGAGCAACAACAACTCCCAAACTTTTTCACACAGGAACTGTGCTCAAGAACGAAAACGTCCTAGGTAGACAGTAGGTTCCAAAGTCTTTTTGCTTTCTTAAAACCTGCAGATATTCCACTTACAGATCTAAGTGGAGCACCTAGTGATCCAAGGAGCTCTTCCTACTCCCCGTGACGATAAGGCAAGTAAGAATATCTGTGCAGTCACAAAAGCAGTTGTGTTAGTTCCAGTTCAGTGAGAAATCATGATTGTGTCCTTGAAATATTTGATAAGCAGTATATAGAAATCATGAATTTTAAAAATAAAGAGGCATTTACATTTTCGATTTCATTCTAGGGCTCATTCTAGGAAGCTCTTTTTGGAAGGTTGAGATTCTCTGAGTGAGCTAAATGGTCAATACTGACACTGTGTTCCTTTCTCTGGATTTATGATATGTACACCATCCTGAAGATGATTAGCCAGTGACAATGCCACTTCTAAAGGGTCCCAGGACCTCATTTTGCTGTTCTTTCCATTCGCCAAATCGCAAAGCCACATGTGCTAATGAAATGGTATAATACTCAATCCCACAGAAAAACACATGCCACAGTTAACTTGTATAACAACTTCTTTAACAGATGAGAGGAGAGTGGAGATGGGTATTCCATTAGAGTCACTAGGGGTGATGGAAATGGACTGAAGTGGGCAAATAAAATACTCTTCTGGCTACATGCCTAGCTATCAGTTTGGAGTTCCCTACAGCATGGAGCCTCCGAGGGCTTCAATTGCTGAGTAGAAAAATGGGAACAGTGGTTTTAAGTACTCTTTTACTTCTTTCAAAGTAAGTTTTAGTTAATAAAATTCACTCCCTATAAACTACCACCACCAAAACTTCAGAGTTTCAAACCCAGTGTTGTTGAGAAGCAACAGAGAAAATGGATTTATTTGAAGTGATGGCATGTACAAGCTCTTTTAGAAAGGGATATTGAGTGCATCTAGGTTTTGGTTGTTATTGGGATCAGAGTGAGCGTCTTACCTATTAAGGTGTGGGAATAAACTTGGTCTTAGGATCAAGACCAGGTAAGAGAAGGGAAGTGAAAGGAAAAATGCAAATTGGCTTCAGTGAGGGTCAGCTGACATTTGAGCCGTTCTACTTTGAGTGATTTTTTTTTGTTATTGGATCATGCTGCGTACATTCTCCATCCATACTCAGGATACTACAAAGCATCTGTGTGAATGAATGAATCCCTTATGTCTGCTGTAAAGCCTATAGATTTGGCCACTTAATTAATCAACTCATTCGGTTCCTTTGGGACATTCTCCTAAACTCATTTGTCATTTTGGGGGAAGATATTAAAAGACGGAGTTCCTATATTTTTGAATAAAAGTACTATTTTTAACACTGAACAAATACAAGGTAATATACTTCAAAACATTATTTTAATTTCCAAGTGGCCAGCAGTGTTAACCATTGCTTTAATTGCAAGACATAGGGTCATAGAATGTTAGGGTGGAAGAGATTTCCCAAGTTATACAGTCAAATTTGTAATCTTCTCTTAAATCTCCACCTACTATTTTAATGAAGAGCTATTCAGTTCAACTGAATAGGCTTCATATGGGCAAAGACCAAGTCTGTTTCATTCACAACTACATGTTCCTTTCTCTGAGCCACATTGTATGGTGGCTCATAAATAAGAGTGGAGTGAAGGAACAAAGAAGTAGAATGAGATTCCTTTTTATGTTGCGGACACTGTGCTAGGAGCTGGGCATTCAAACATACACGGCATGACCCTTGCTTGTGGGAACCTCGCTTTAAGTGACCAGCTACAATACATGGGAAATGTAAGCGTGACAGCTGAAGGATGCGTGGTGATCTCTGAAAGCACTGACTGGGGGCTATTTCTTCTGCTCGGTGGGAGCTGCGGGTGGGAGACACTCAGGACAAACTACAAACACAGAAGCCGTTTGAACTGGGCCTTGAGGGCTGAGTGGGAGATCACCAGGCACATAAGGCTGGGGTGATCCAGGCCAAGGGAAGAGCATTTGCAAAGGCAGAGAGTTAGGAGAAAAGCTGGCATATTTGGGTAAAGGGGTGGTAGGGCCAGAGTGTATGGAATGGCCGAAGAAGGATGGGAGTAACAATCAGGAATTTCAACCAGGGCTAGGAAGAAAAGGGCCACCTGCCCTCTTCATTCCTTGGACTTCATTCTGTGGCAGGCAGTCTCCTGCGACGACTTTGGGTTGGAGTTGGATGAAGACGGATAATGTAGACATCCAGTAAAGAAACTGTTCATTCACTCATTCATTAGCCAAATACTTAAAATGCAGTGTTTATCACTTGTGATGAGCACCAGGGGTTGCAGGGAAGGGCTGAATCACTCAACTGTACACCTGAAACTAACATGACACTGTATGTTAACTAACTGGAATTTAAATAAAAACATAAAAAAAAAGAAAATGTAGTGTTTATGATATGCCAGAACATGGGATTAAAGATGGGATTGGCATGGGATTTAAAGAAATATAATACAACAATCTGAGTACCACACTCTGGGGGCTGGAACAGGACACTGGTTGAAAAGAGGAGAGAAAATAGAAAAGATATATTTAGAGGTAAAATGAGTGGCCAAGTGCAATCGGTAAAAATGTAGAAGGACTTAAGGAAAGAACTCAAGTGTCAAGCCTGAGCAACTTGACATTGGCAACAAAGAAGAAAGGGTGGGTAAAAGGGGACAGCAGCAGAGGAATGGGCAAACATGAGAATGAATGAACTTGGTTTCAGAAGGGCTGCATTTTGATTCCTTTAATGACATATGGGGGAAGAGGGTGGCCAAGAGATCCAGACCGGAAATGGATATTTGTCACCATACTCTCCATTTCAAATTGGGAGCATTTACACAATACAAAGGGCATGGAGCTAAGTTTAGAAACTTTGGTGTGCCAACATCTGAAGGGTGAGGAGAGTTTCAGAATTGAGGAAAATAAAGGAAAATGAAGGAAGAAGAATGGGGATGAAACAATGCCATGGAGGGCAAGGGAGAAGAGACCTTCCAGAATGGAAGACTGCCGGCAAACACGCTGAGTGCAGGTGAGAATTTCACTTCTTTTGAATTTGAACTTTTGTTGGTTTTGATGCTAGATGAGTAAACAAAATAGGTTTTCAAGTTGCTGGTTTTCAAAATGATACTCCTAAACACGTATATTCTTTCTTTATAAATATATGTATCATCTTTGTGCCACAAGGGAATTTAACTTTGGTCTTGGGGACAGTATTCCAAATATATAATGATATTTCCTAATATCTGCAGTGGACTAATACAACTCAAAATTGTATCACACACACTGCTTTCTAAGGGAAGGGCAGCAGTAACAGCCTCAATTAACAGTACCATAACTCACCCAAGTCATATAATTTAGTTAGCACAAAGGCCAAAGCCTAGATTCCTGGCTCTTGATTAAGTGTTATATTTTTCCCTACTCTGATACTAAGTTTCACAAAGAACATACACACACACACACACACACACACACACACACACACCCCAGATCATTTTAGTACAAACGCCTAAATTCATTTCCTAATAGCAAAATCAGAATGATTGTTTCACCCTGTACCTTTCTAATATTTCATTCCACATTACTAAAGACAGAGATGATTAGATCACTATCTCCTCTTAGAGAAAATACCACATGCAAGATGATTTTGAATTTGTGAAAGACAGACTGATTTCTAAAGCTTAAGGGCGCTATGTTTAACTTTGTGAGAAGAAAATACTGCACTCAAGTTCAGATTAGAACCTCTTTTGAGTCTCTCAAAGGGCCCTGAAGCAAAGCAATAGATGGTACCTTGACTTTTTCGAGGTGATCTTGGAGAGAGTCAATGAGGAGGTCACCCACAGGCTGCCAGGATCCCTTGATCACCTCAGCCTGACGTAGTTTGAGGTCCAGCTTATCCGTTGCTTCCTGAAGTTCCTGGAGTCTTTCGAGGGCCTCGTCTATTTTTCTCTGCCAGTCTGCAGAGTGCAGGTTCAATTTTTCCCACTCAGTGTTGACCTCCTCAGCCTGCTTTCGTAGGAGCCGTGTGACATTCTGGGCTCTCTCCTCAGGAGGCAGCTCTAAATTGGTAATATGACAAGGTTTTAGGCCACAGTCATTTTTATTTAAAAAAAAAAACAAACATTGTTGAAAAGGTCATACTGGAAGAAAGAGAGTACAGTCTAACAAGAGACCGACCCGCTGATTAATGGTTCCTTTACACTTCGGCATAAATTTTGATAGTGTCCGGCCCATCTCAAGTCTGTCCTCCTGAGTGTATCTGTGCTACTTTCTATCATTCAGATAATCCAAGATTCATTTAAGCTACTGAGTAGAGAAATGCACACCACAAGCTCTAATTTACTTCAGTCAGGCTCTTAAATTGAAAATTGGCTTGTAGTCTTTGTAACAATAGAATTCCTTCTCAAAGATCATCTCTTTTGTTTATTATTTTCTAAATGTTTCAATAACTGATCACTAATCTCTTTTACTGTTTATTTATGAATGTGCAAACAGATTTAGGCATGGTGGTTTATGATTCCTTTTTCTTTTTCAACATCTATGTTTAATTTGAATCGATTCTATTTAACTTAGAAAATATGAGAGCTATCCAGACCCTGGCAGCAAGAAGGGATGGGTCACTCTGTCACCACTGATCCTTCTATCAATATGTTATTACAGTTCCACATTCAATTACCTCTGGGCTCCTGGTAGAGTTTCTCTAGTCCTTCTAAAGGCTGCTCTGTCAGAAATATTCGTACGGTCTCAAGAGTACTCATGATTACAGGTTCTTTCGTTTTCAATTCCCTCTTGAAGGCCTGTGAAATGAGATGAAAAGAAATGCTTATTTGGCTTGTGGCATTCTTCTCAAAATTAATCCTGGGTGTTCAGAACTTGGTTATGGAATTCCCAGGTCAATTTCTATCTCCTTTATTTTTAAACCGATAGTCACAAAATGATAAAGAAGGCTATATGGATCTTTCTGTTAATCAGAAGCCATTGTGTCTGTAAAGCTATTCTGGAGAGCATGGGGGGAACTTCTAAGACATGTTAATGCCTTTTCATTAAGATAAGAGTGATTTCTTTGTACAACCTGACTGCCAAACTTGAAATCTGAAGCCAAAGTTGCAAGATACACATTGCAAAGCCTTAGCAGGGCTAATGAATACTTCATGCACCCAAAACAATGGTTATCCAGAACATAGGGAGCCTGAAGGGCCATTTGGAAGAACTTAGGTTGTACTGAAATATACAGCCAATCCAATTCATAACTACCAGCTTATTCTGTCAAAATATCTGACAACAAATAAAATGAAATATTAACAGTAAACTATGTAAAAACTCAGTACTTCTGAAAAATACCTAATACATTATCCAATGTGACTTCTTTGAGAATGGTAGAAATGTTTTGACGTATACTGGATGTAGGAATTGTGGGAATAGGTTTCTATAAAAGGATAGGCCTAGAATCTGCCTCCTGGGGTCATCTATGCTAGTTATCAGTTTTAATCTCTAATCTGTAATCTTCACGGATACAGGGGGTTAAAAGGAAAGCAGAATGCATAGTTTCTGCCTTCAGGAAGCTTCTGGATGAAAAGAAGGGAGAAAACTAACACACTAGAAACAGAGAGAAAACAATAAACTTCATACATAATTGAGTCCTAAGGCTTGTGAGACATTGTGTGAGGCTAGAATAAATTGAGAGATACTTGGAAACCATCAAAGATACTCATTGACCAGATTCTGCCATCTCAGAAGTGAAGATGTTAATGAAAGTATCAAGTACCACATAAACATTAATTGATCAGTGTAAAAGCAACAGTAATAATAATAATAATAATAATAATAATAATAATAATAATAATAATTACCCTAAGCTAGGGCTTAATTTTTCGTATCTTTTTTCAATTCTGTCCTATTTTTAGCAATGTTACCTAATGATTTTAAGCCCTGAAGGAAAATTCAGCTATATCTCCTTTGAACTTCAGATATATCATGTTGTAGGAATGCTCCAGAACTGTATTATCTGACACTTTTATAAATAAAATTCTCATCATTCAGAAAAATCCTGAGTTTGATACTTTGCAAAATGATTCATCTTCCATAGTTAGTTACACTTCACTAAAGAGAGGCAAAGTGTTTGAACTGAAATAATAAAATTCTGTAAGTGAAATATTAGGATTCAGTCTGTGGATGGGGATGTAGTTTCTGTACAGTGAGATATTTTTGTGTCCTTGAAGTAACACAGAGTAGGTATTATAATACAGAGTAGGTGGACTATTTACTCTGCTTACATGTAAGGCTGATTCTCCCTCTAATACTTCATTTGAAATTTGTGTGTGTGTGTGTGTGCACATGCGTGCACATGCGTGTATGTATATACAACTCTTGCTCATACATTTAATTTTCCCAACTTCAAGAAAATTATTATTTTTTCTAGTCTCTCCATTTGGACTTGATAGGAGGCAATTGACTCTGATTTCACTAATTATAAAAATAATAATGGCTCCCTTTGTTGAGCTACTATGTGTCAGTGGTTGTATCAGAAACTAGAAAAAAGTGAATGCAAAACAACTCTTCCCATCTAGAAACTTGTATACAGTAGAAGAGTCAAACACATAAATAATTTCTTTATTTTTAAAGATTTATTTATTTATTTTAGAGAGAGAGAGCATGATCAGGAGGGGCAGAGGGAGAGGGAGAGAGAATCTCAAGCAGACTCCACACTGAGTGGGGAGCCCAACGCGGGGCTCAAACTCACAACCCTGAGATCTTGACCCTGAGATCATGACCTGAGCTGAAACCAAGAGTCAGATGCTTAACCGACTATGCCACCCAGGCGCTCCTAATTTCAGCACAGTGTGGAAAGTGCTATAGGTTTGCACAATCTGGGAAAGGAAATTGGGAAAGGCTTCCTAGAGAAGACATTATTCATAAAGAATTCTTAAGCATGAACATGAGTTAGCCTGGGAAGTGCAGATTAGAGGAAGAAAAATGATGAAAATACAGGTGTGAAGACATAGGACATAATACAGTGTGGCATGTACACTTATCTCAAGTAGGCCAGGTTTCTAGCACATAAAGTACAAGGAGAGGACATATCCAGAGATGAAATAAGACAGTGTCATTATCTTAAACTATATTTGACCTTTAACTCAGAAATTGAAGCTTAATCTGTGAGTTGCTAAGAAGCCTAGGTATTCTCTTGTAGCAAATCAGGAACCTGGAGTGGCATAGGCACGTGTGTGTTTCAAATAGATGTCCCTGACATAAATACAGAGCAAGTATTTTAGAAGGGCAGAAATGCATTTAGAGAGACCAGTTAGGAGGCAACTGTATGAATTTAGTGAAAGATTATGAGGATCTGACCCAGGGCAGTAGGTACAAAAAAAAAAAAAAAAAAAAAAAGGATAGAGTAGGGAAATGTTTAGTGTGTAGAGGTGTGGGAATTTGGTGACTGAATGGAGAGAGGAAGGAGCAAGGAAGACTTCTAGTTTCTAGGTTGGGGAGATGAGTGAATGCTGGGTGCAATTAACCTACATGTGAGGAAATAAACTCTCCCAGATTTCTCAGCACGCCTATAAAAAGCTCTGGCTCCTGAGAAACTTCCCATACCATGGGAACTAGATCTGCAGTCATGTGTCTAGTTAATTTGTCTCATCCAAGAGGACCAAATGGTTAGAGCCCAGAGTAAGTTCCCAGGTTCAGCTCCAAGCTGTCAGCAAGACTGGAATGCCTATCTCTTTAGGTCTTTAGAGTTTGGGAAAAAAAAAAAGCCCAGACCTTGATGACATTTCCTTTGTAAAATCTGAGGCATGTGGGGTTGTCTGGCTTCTAGAAAAGTTGGAGTTAGGACTCAGGCCCTTTATGTTTCCAAGGAGACCCTTTCAGGAGGAGAAGGGGACCCTTTCTGGTGGAAAAGGCCTTCTTCCCCTTTACAAGAAAGGAAAACTCTTTTTCCTGGTCTCTGGCCTAGGGAATAAGCAGCCAGTCATGTAGGAACATTTTCAATTGGCTCTCCTCACGTCTCCCTCGGGGTAAGACTTGGGGCAAAGGCCAGGTTGGGGGGATGTGGCAATGATATTCCCTGTTAGGTAACTAAAAGAAATCTGTGCCTGATCCAGAACACCTCATGTGCACATTTAGGATAAAATTAATGAAGAAGAATATTAAAAACCCAATACTAACATGAGGGGGGAATTTGTTTGGAGAACAAAGTAAGAGGATAAGATATGCTCAGCTTGGATAGGTACCATTCCTTCCAGAAGGAAATAAATACCAAAGTCTGAAGTTTAGGGAGAAGAAAAGGAGATTTAGGAGCCATTTTCTCAGTAAAACATCCACTGAGTGCCTATGATTATGCATAGAGACAAGGATTACAACTACCTAAGGAGATGAGACTGCTCAGGCAGTGGAGTGGGCTAAAGAGAAAATTCTGGAGAATATACAAAATTTATGGGCAGACAGAGGACCTGGATCCCATGAGAGGCCAAGAAAGAATGGAATGGACAGGTAGAAAGCTTGGGGGAAATGAGAAGTATAGAACTATGGAAGAGAGAGGAAGAAAGTGACTGAGAGCTTCCAACCATGACACACAAAGGTAAAGCAAGATGGGCACTGAGAAGTGCTCATTGGACTGGTGAGAGCAATTTCAGTGGAGGGCAGTAGCTTCAGAAGTAGGTTTAGTTGAGGAGTGAGTGGGAGAAGAAGGAATAAGTATTTTAGAGGAACACTGTGCAACATATTTTTTTTCTGACAGGAAAAGAAGGAAGATGGGAAGGAGGACAGACCGGATTACAATGTAAAAGGAAGACATGTTCTTTTTAGGATAGGAATGGTTTGCACACAGGGTGGAAGATGGAAGCTAGCAGTAGGGTAACCAACCATCCTGGTTTGTCGGGGACTGGGGAGTGCTTCATGACTTTGAATGCTAAAACCAGGACAGTCTCATGCAAACTAGGACAGTTGGTTACCATAGCAGAGAGGAATCTATTAAAGACCTAGATGGGGGAACGTGGAGATAATTGTTGGAGTAAGGTCTGTAAAATAAGGAAACGGATCTCAAAGGTCTCATCAAATTGACAAAGTCTAAGACACTGATGATGCAGCTCCATTGTTAGAAGTGAACACCATTGTGAGGGACCACTCGTTTGCCCCTCGAGTTGTTGCCAAGGGCTCAGCACCATCACAGCTGCACAGTTCATTTCTTAAATAGGAGTCACTGAGGATTAAAACGAGTCTAAGGAAAAGACAAAGGAAGTTCTGTCATTACAAAGACATAAGCACCATTATTTTCACATCGTTGTCTGAAATTAAGAAAAGAAAGTGGATGGAAGAGAAGGTTATGTGCTCTATCTTCAGCATTTGGGAACATGTAGAGGAAATATAAGAAAGGTTAAAAACCCCAGGAAAAAGGGAGAAATAGTTGGTTCAAGACAATCAGAAGACAAAGAAAATGGTAATGTTTCTCACCATATGGAAAAAACCATAAATAGGAACACATCATTTTAAGCATGGTTAGAAGGAAAGGTCTTCTTCCATTTGTTCATTTAACAAATTTTGAGCACCTATCTGTACAAGCCACTGTTCTAGGCAAAAAGCATCAGTGGTCCTTGTAGCATGGAGTTTAAAAGAGATAGGCTTTTTAAAAAAAGAGATTTTATTTATTTATTTTTTTAGAGATAGAGGGGGGCAGTGGGGAAAGGAACAGAGGGAGAGGGATAGCAGACTCACTCTGAGCGCAGAGCCCGATGCGGGGCTTGATCCCATGACCCTGAGATCATGACCTGAGCTGAAATCAAGAGTTGGACACTTAACC